CATAGTTTTATGCTTTTTTGTTTGCCGTTAAAAAATGTCAATGAAAAGCATGCAATATCATATGGACGATTATTTATTTACTCCAAAAATCTATTACATAATTATAAAAGATTGTTTTAATGATGTTGTAATTACTATGTAATGAGGTTACACAAATTTTCCATCAGGCTTTCATGGACATTACTTTTTGGCCGTGGTAGGCCTACATTGAAATGAGTATTTGCTCTTGGTTTTCCTTAGCTGTCCTATATTGATCTTACTCCAGGACTTTAATTGTCCTAAATAAGACCTTGAATGTTTTATGTATAGATAGGATCTTGACTGTCCTATAAAGGAAGTTGAATGTTCTAAGTAGGTTCTTTAATGTCCTAGATAGGTTCGTGAATGTCCTAGATAGGTTCTTGAATGTCCGAGATAGGACCTTGAATGTCCTATATATAGGATCTTGAAAGTCCGAGATAGGACCTTGAAAGACCGAGATAGGACCTTGAAAGTCCGAGATAGGACCTTGAAAGTCCGAGATAGGACCTTGAAAGACCGAGATAGGACCTTGAAAGTCCGAGATAGGACCTTGAAAGTCCGAGATAGGACCTTGAAAGTCCGTTTCAAATCTATCTTGACAACTTGGCTGCCCTATTTTTATACTTACTGCAGTTCTTTGAGTTTCTTATTACAAATCTATAGTATCAGGACAATACAATGATTAAATATTAGTTATATATTCGCTCCTTTAAAGGGACAGTAAAGGAAAAATGAAAGGGGGTATAGGTTAAAAGCTAATCTCTTTAGCTCTTGATCGCGACCCATGAAAGTTTTATCTGATGTTCCTGTCTCGAGAAATTGATATAAAACTGTGTTAAAATTATATGAAAATTCATATATGTAAAATTTAGAAAATCTTAAACTTAAATCACGTGACCAGAACTTTCACCAATGGCAGAGCAGTATACTGATCACGTGTTTTTGCCTGTATCACGTGAACACTGTACTGCACTGTCATTGGTGGATTTTCTGGTGAAGTAATTCGGACGTGTACATAATATTATGAATTAAATCTATTAAAAATAGAAATAACAAATATAAAATTAGAATTGGAGTAAACCTAAGTAATAATTAGCTTTCTCGGGGATATTATCGTTTTCAGATTGGTTGCATATTTGCTGAATTTGATCTATTTAAACCCACTACTTTTATACAAAATTGTATATATATTAATTTTCGTATAAATTTGACACAGTTGTAAATCAATTTCTTGAGACAGGAACATCAGATATAACTTTCATGGGTTGCGATCGAGAGCTAAAGTGATTAGCTTTCAGTCTATACCCCCTTTCATTTTTCCTTTACTGTCCCTTTAATTATGAATGTCAAGGAATGACATTAAACAACTTTAGAATTACTTATTTTTAAAAAAGTTGCATTGAAAATATAAATGGCAGATAGATAGATAGTCGAGAGTTGAAAATATAAATGGCAGATTAAGGAAAAGATCGATTTTATTCAATTATTAAAATGTAGAATTGACAAAACTGAATACAGGACTAGAATCTCGGACCAAAGATCTAGGAAATATATTTTCTACAGATAAATCACTGTAAGAGTGGGAAGAAAGGAAAATGATATTTTGGTCATAAGTAAAAAAAAATTAGATGTATTTATCTAATTTTTTTGTTGTTATATTTATACTTTACAAATTCACATAGTTTAAATCTTCCGTTGGAAAATCTTAACAATTAAACCCTTGTTTTTTATTGACGAAAAATAGAAGAATAGTAAAAAATATAGTTTCCGTGTAATTATTAACGATAAATAAAAGAAAAAAAAACAATAAGCATAATTGAATTACTACCGAGAAACCCCTGTCCCCTGCCTTGGAATATTGGAAAGTAAACAAATATTTAATTACAGTTCCTGTCAATAAACACAAGACCCATATTTAATGATGTACAGTGATTTATTGCTGTACCTATCCAGGCCCTCGTATACCGAGCCGGATTCAACTTTTTACAGTAACAAGCCTATAATAGGCCTATTTAACCTAACCCACTAGATTTAGCGAATTCTCCAGTCCAGTTCTCTGGCTTTCCAATGATAAATTAAACTTTTATTGATGCTTTTATCTTTCAACATTTATTATAAAATAAACTTTTTTACGGGTTTTGTTATCTATTTTCGAGCTTTTTTCTGGTAGATACATTTTCATACACTTAGCAGTAAGAATTTTCACAGGTATTTGTTTTTATTTGTCCCATTGTCAAATGAAAAAAATGTAAATATATTTGTGAGGCTGGTATATCCCTAACGGATATAGCAGTCAAGTTTCAACACTTTTCGATTAACGGGACTGTAAGCGTAATTCTGAACCAATTAGAAATAGTATGACGGTAACATCTATCTTTCTATCTATCTCATTATCCAATTAGAGATAAATCCTTATATCGGCGCTAAACAGAAAATGGAAATATTTACTTCTACTAAAACTATAGTGATGCAAAGAAGATGGCAATACCTGATTTACATTGGTGCCTTTAAAAGCTTAGTCTGATCAAGTATGAACTATAGAAAACAATGTTTCAGTTTCTTTAAACTGTTTTTTTTATTTGAGGATTCTCTGCGAATGTGACTTGCTCATTTCTTGCTTACAACAACCAATGGAGAAATTATCAGAGTTAAAAACTTTTCGAGTCAAACACCGACGTATCAACAGAATTTGAGCTTAGCAATTCCTCAGAACACATTGATTATATATTATATTATATTATATTATAGGTATAGTATATTATATATATAGGTATAGTATATTATATATTTAGGTATAGTATATTATATATATAGGTATAGTATATTATATATTTAGGTATAGTATATTATATATATTATATATAGGTTTAGTATATTTCGGTAATGATTTACAATAAACTATAAACTAGTCCGGGACACAGTAATTGTAATTATGTCCCGGTTAAAATCTTGTTAGCCTGAACTTTTTTAGTATTTGATATTTTTTTACTTTTTGTTGAATATTTAAGTAAATCATGTCTTTAAAAGTTTTGGTTAGTTTTAAATATGGCTCCAAAAATAAATTTTATAATTTAAAATTAATAAAAATTGATATACAACGATTTTGAAATGCCTTAAAAGTTGATATATATTTTTACGCAAAAACCTTTCTTAATTCCATTTAGTCGTAAAAAAAACCTTCTTTAAGGGAATGTAAGCGTAATTTCAAGTGACATTCCATGCAAAGATGTAAATGTCCGATTAAAAATGGTATCCTTAAAAGCTTTGTCTGATCAAGTATGAATTAGATATGAATGTTTATAATAATGAAAACTCCTTGATTTTGATTATGTGGTTTCTCCACAAAATTGCCTTGCGCATTTCAACAGCAGGAAAAATGTAGGATATCATTAAGTTGTGTACTAAACATCCTTCTTAATTTAATTGTGTACCCCTTTTAATCTTTTCACTTTAACTTTAATCCTTAAGAATTAAGTAAAATGAAGGTGTACTAAAAGTACTTTACCTTATCTGGTTGCATTCATCAATAAATTCCAACCTTGAAATCAGAAAGTTTTGCGTTCAACCAATGAGAAAACAGAGAAAATCAAGAAATCAAGCAGATTCTCTCTGAAAATTCAAAAGGGCCCACATTTGATATCGAGATCCCAGCTCTGGTTGCATTCCTCAATAAATGCCAACCTTGAAAATGATATGGATAAATGCAAGTTTGAAATAGTTCTTCAATATAACATTCTGCATCTAGTTATAATATTACTTATAATACTCAAAACAACAATGTGTATTCCTCTAATCCAATAACTTTCTGTTTGTTTTGTACCTTCAGAATCGATCTGTATACAAAGTAATGATTTCTCTGTTTATTTGTTAAGATATCCGATCATATCATAACTCATATCATAACATTTATATTTTTAGTGGGAACTCGGGAGAACCACGAGAATGTTCTTAGCATGTTTAAAGTTCAAGTTTGAGTGGGTCCACTTTTGCAGTGAAAATTCCACGCAAAGCTGGGTTCCCTAGCTAGTATAATATTTCAGAATATATATATGACCACAATTTATAAAGTTCGTTCAGAACTATTGAAAATCTAGTTTTGATAAAAAAGGAACTGAATACTAGCATCATTTTTTTTTCTTTTATCCCTATATATTTGCAAACTCGATGTCGTGTTAAGCTTTGATATTTAAAACTATAAAATCTGTCAAGTTGTCAGATTTTAAAATATCATTTGTGTTTTGTTCCTTTGTCAATAATTAATAAAATAAAAATAAACGGTGTTTAAGTCATCTTTACATAAGCTTGAAAGAAATCAACTGCAGAACTTGCTTAATTAGTTTTAATAAAAATAAACGGTGTTTAAGTCATCTTTACATAAGCTTGAAAGAAATCAACTGCAGAACTTGCTTAATTAGTTTTAATAAAAATAAACGGTGTTTAAGTCATCTTTACATAAGCTTTAAAGAAATCAACTGCAGAACTTGCTTAATTAGTTTTAATAAAAATAAACGGTGTTTAAGTCATCTTTACATAAGCTTGAAAGAAATCAACTGCAGAACTTGCTTAATTAGTTTTAAGATAGAATGTTTTTACATCTTTTGGAACTGAGTCTTAATCACAAACTCTGATTTTCTATATCCTATATCTTTGCAACCCAAAGTTGTAGACCTTAGATATTTCAAACTATGAAATCTGTTATGATCAAAGAGTGTAAGTTTGAAATATCAAAGGTTTCCAATATCAGGTTGACAAGATATAGGGATTAGGAAATTTGAAATTGTGGCAAAGACTCAATTCCTTTTGTAAAATACTTAAATACTTACCTGTGTTTATCTAGAGGTACATTAAAAATAATTCCAACATCAACATTCCATGATGTATACATTTTTAAACACATTGGGAAAATAAGTCCTAATTACTAGATCTATAAAATCAAATAAATATTTCCATCTCACAATTTAAAAACCCGTATTTTTCAGGTTAGTCTTGTATTCTGTTCCTTGTACACCCTGATATACAGAGTAACCTTGTGCATCCTACCCTTCACCATCATATCCCTGTCATCCTTACATCTACTACCAACCCATCTACAGGTACAATATTTCCTTGTACACCCTGATATACAGAGTCACCTTGTGCATCCTACCCTTCACCATCATATCCCTGTCATCCTTACATCTACTACCAACCCATCTGCAGGTACAATATTTCCTTGTACACCCTGATATACAGGGTAGCCTTGTGCATTCTACCTTTCAGTCTTCACTTTAATATCCCTCTCCATCATCATTGAAGGTTGAGTTGAGAAATTGAGTCTTTGCCACAAACTCAGGGAATTATCAAACCCCAGAATTTAGGATGAAAATTACACCATATTAAAAGAAAAGCAAATTAATGAAAAAAAGGAATTGAGTCTATGCCACAGATTCTGATTTTTTAATCCCTATATCTTAGCAACCAAATGTAATAGACCTTAGCTAGATATTTCAAAATATGAATTCTTTTAGATTAAAGAATCTAAGTTTGAAATATCCAAGGATGCAAAGATATAGGGATTAGAAAATGAGATTTTGCTACAAGACTCAATTCCTTTGTACAAATTTTGTTCCGAATTTTCTTTCTTTTTCTGATGATTTTCCTTTTTTTGTGAATCACGATTCTTATTTATTATTTTGTCCCAGGAAATGTTAAACTATTTTGTTCTTTATGATAACAACACAACGTTGTAATTTTCTGAAGAAGTTATATTTTAGGATTTAAGCATGTTCCTTCGTCTAATTTTGAAACAGAAAGAACCAGAAAACTGTAGAATAGGTAGACGACATTATAGCAATACTTTAGTGAAGTTTTACTAGTAACTTATTAAATTACATATCAATTTAATTGGCTCTGTTAACACTGCACAATTGCTGTGTTTTATGTTCATTGAACTATTTAAAGTCATTGCTTGAGTATAAAAGTCGTCTTCCTATTTCAGAGTTTTCTCGTTCTTACTATACAATACACAATACGTTCATATTGTACTTATTGAACATATTGTACATATTGTACATATTGAACATATTGTACATATTGAACATATTGTACTTATTGTACATATTGTACTTATTGTACACCAGAGTGGAAAACTAGTTAAAAAGTTTTCAGTATTTCAATAAAATCAGTTTGATGCAATTTGAATTGTTTGCAAAACTTGTAATTGTAGAATAAAGGGAGTGTAGGCAAAATATAAAAGGGGTATGGGATTGTAGAATAAAGGGAGTATATGCAAAATATAAAAAGGGTATAGGATTGTAGAATAAAGGGAGTGTAGACAAAATATAAAAGGGGTATAGGATTGTAGAGGGAGTGTAGGCAAAATATAAAAGGAGTATAGGATGAACTATTTTAAATTTCTCGGCTCTTCTATTTCTATTCCATGAATCTGTTAAAATAATTAATCTAAACGGTCCTCCTTGAATCTTTTAAACGCTTTGCCTATGTTGTCCAGTTTGCAGGACCCTGAAGGCTATGCAGCTAGAGAGAAAAAGAGGATCAACCATATTTTCTGGCTCTGTGAATGTAGAGTTTCGCAAAGTTATTATCATTACAAACATTTAGGGTTTTTAGGCGTTCCGGAGACTTCCCAAAATTTGTATAAATTTTGGCATGTTTTAAAATTGTATTCTTTAAAAAGTTTGCTTTTATCACAAATGCAAAATCTTGACTCTGGTAGAAAATACAAAACTGAGCGATTTTTCAAATCGCTCTTTAGCGCACGATTAATTTAGCTTTGTTCAGACTTCTAGATTTTTGTGAAGCCTCCTAAAAAACAAAAAAAAATCTTAAATATCTAAAAAAACGGATAATAGCGAAATCTTTGTAGATGACAAAAACATTTGATGGAAATAAGATTAATTTACAGTCTTATCAAATCAAGGTTCGTTCTCTCCCCCGACCATTTTTTCGCGAGAACTCTCTTTAAATATAGAAATTTGGTAAAAGTTAAATTCTAAATATTTGGTCTAAAAATAAAATCTAGTGATCTGAGATCAAAAACATCTTGAGACATTTAAAGTATAGTTTAGAGGTTATACAGGAATAACCAGAATAAAGTGGAATAAATGCTGACTTAACGGTTGTATTCCCTGACACTCAAAGATAAAGGGACTGTAAGTGTAATTTCAAGTGACCCTCAATGCAAAGATGGGAATGCCTGATTTACAACGGTACCCTTGAAATATTTATCTGATTAAAACTGTAAAAGATAATAGATCAGATAAAGCCTTTAAGGGAACCGTTGTGATTTGGGCATTCCCATTTTTACATAGAGGGTCCCTTGAATTATGCTTACACACTCCCTTCAACTAAATATCTGCAGGGTTTATCTGTACCAGTGGTTGAAACTCCTCCCCCCTCTCCTCCTAGTTCTCTATTCAGGTAAATATTCAAGGGACTGTACCCGTGGTTGAATCCCCTCCTCCCTCTCCTCCTAGTTCTCTATTCAGGTAAATATTCAAGGGACTGTACCCGTGGTTGAATCCCCTCCTCCCTCTCCTCCTAGTTCTCATTCAGGTAAATATTCAAGGGACTGTACCAGTGGTTGAAACTCCTCCTTCCTCTCCTCCTAGTTCTCTATTCAGGTACACATAATTTATACTAATCCCACATTGTAATGGCATGTCCGATTCACAACGTTACTATTAGAAACTTTGACTGATCAAGATATCCAACGAATTATAATGACATCCATCCTTTATATACAGTTATTTTCAAGTGTGGTCTTTTCTAGTGATTACAGAAACAATTGAGGAAATTGTAAGAATTAAAAACTTTTCAAGCTAGACAACATCTTTCATATTATTGATCAGTAAAAGCTTTAAAGGGTACCATTGTTAATCGGGGATGGCTTTTTAAAATTATCTAAATTAATTAAATTTGAAATTACAACTACAGATTAAAAGTTTGAAATGATACATTATGAATGTTAAACATTGGTTCCTGGAATTTACTTAGGCTGACATTTTGATTTACAGAATAAAATTCATCTAAAAAGTCGTAAACAAATAGTTTTTAACTAACAGAAAAAGTACGAAATCGAATAGTTTTTATATGATTGTGACTATTTTATCTAGTTTCAGTTTTAATGTACTTCTATTTCACTGCTATTTTTATACATCTTAAAAACTTTTTATATTTTCTCAAGAATGCTTAAATTGTTCAATATAGTATATTCTGATTGAACATTCCAACCAACTTTTTCAGAAATTCTCCCCGGTCGTCCACTCCTTCTCCGTACTATCCAGGAACCTAGAACCTTCATCAAAACCTTATTCATGAATCATGAATCATGTTCTAGCAAATTCTGTATAAATGAAGGATATAATAAAATTTCAATATTCGATCATGATTTGATTCTTTAGTCAAAAAGTAGTTACCTGAATGAAGTGAAAATTCGAAGACGACCTAAAATTTTCCATGGACTTATTAAGTCACGTGACACGATTGAATCACCCTATTTCCTATTCAAATTCCGGGACCACTCTGTAGCAATATATTAAAAAAAAGTCTCAATAATTGTTTTATGAGCATGGTGCCAAACATTTCCTGGCAATGTTCTTTTTTAGATACCCATTAGTACAGCCTTTTATATTATAAAGCATCGACAGTACACGTAAAGTTCTGCACGGTTTAAGTTCAACCAAAGGCCATGCCGGTGCAAGAATTTGGTACGGTACAAATGAACCGAAATAGTACTCTGATTGTCTTCATTGAAGGTAAAATCGCGGTCATTTGTTTGACGGATTCTAATTTTCGAACACTCAGGTTCAGAAATTGGTTCAATCAGGATATGGTTTGAATCTCAGATTAGTTACAACTACTTTAGACTTATTTCTACTTAATTTAAAATATTTGATCTAATGCAAGAAAAAAAATTGTTAGATTTTTTACTCATATATAATATATATGTAGGTTAGATCTAAAAAAAAGATTGTGTTCAATTTTATAGTTAATAATTAGCCTCTTCTTAGAAAGAATTTTATGTTTTAAATGTTGCTTTTTAATTCGCCATCTTTTTCGTTCACTACAAAACTTAAAATTTTACATGTTTAGCAAGGGTGGATTTTAAACTACCTTTAAAATCTCCATTTTTTCTAGGCAACATTTTCAATTTCGATCATCCACAAAACTTTCCCATGGGATTATGTGAGATACCGCCAAAGAAAAATAGTCACGATCGGTTCAACGTTTTGACATTTATTAGATACAAACAAACAAAAAACATAAAAACCAACAAACCTGCCAAAATATATTTCTGAAAAGGTTTACAGATATTAGACCGAAGGGTTGAAGCCAAATAAAAAATAAAATCACCCTAGACTATGCCTTTACTGCTTACTTTATAGTGATCTGCAGTTCTACGACCGAATAAATAGTGGGGTTTAGTTGAGAGTGAAATGGGCTGTATCAAGGTCTAGGTGATGAATAGGGTTGAGTCCTGAACCTGCTCCACCCTCTCCACAAACCAAGAGAAGACTTGCTGAACTCAGGGAACCCATTTTAACAAAATATATAAATAACAAAATATACAAATAAAAAGAATTAAAGTTTAGATTATAGGAAAAAACACCATTAATATAGAAAGTTTATAATGCAAGAAAAGTTATTTCAGAGGTGTGCGCATCTTTTGTACTGCAGTGTACTGTCTCTGGGCGGTAATGTAAACACAAGAAGGATGTCGAAGCCTGACATGGGATCCATCTTTCGCATAAAAAATCAATGAAATATTCTGGTCATAGGAAAATATTATGTAAATTATCAAAATTATCAAAATTTAATGCTTTCAACCTCCTCGGATACTAAACGAACACTGATTCATCTTTTCTTGTTTACAAATTCCGCCCAGAGAGAACTGGTTTCAATATGTACGCAGAGTATACGCAACTGCAAATAACTTTCCTTGCATTATAACCTTGGATTAATTAATCTAAATAAGGAATTCATTCTTTAACACAAACTCTAATTTTCGAATCCCTATATCTTTGGCACCCAATTTCGTAGACCTTAAATAGTTCAAACTATGAATTCTGTTTGATGAAATAATCAAAGTTTGTAATACCAACTATCAGGTTGCGAAGATATGGTGATTAGAGATTATGGGTTTGTGGCAAAGACTCAATAAATCTATCTTAATAATCCAAACCCAAGATACGTTGACATATATTCTAAGTCATGTTTTTTAGTGTATCTCTATAATTCTGCATTATGGTGTTCTCTACAGTGATGATCTGACCTTAAAGCAAAAGTTGTGTATTCTGGGTATATGGATATTTTCTGCATTCTACGGTATAGCTACATGCTTTCCGGAAAAGGTGGGTTTCACTGATTTTATAAGATAATCAATCTGACAATTAACGTCGATCCAGCCAGCCTACATTTGTGCATAGAACATGCTGAGTTGACTACACACTATTTATCCCAGACCCGCCGGTACGGGTGAATCCTTGTACCGGTTCGGATGATGCGTCTATTGGACATGTGTCAAGCATCCTAAAAATAGTTTGTTTTTTTAGCTTACAAATTCTTTCTGCTTCTTGTATTTTAAGGACAAATTAATTAATTGCTATTGAAAATCCGATAGTGAAGTTTGATATTTCATTATTTTGATTCAAAATCCAGATTATCACTCCAGTTTCACCCTGTGGAGCATGCAAATTGCATGAGGTTGGGTGATGATCCAAGTTTTTGCGCTAAAAGATCAATAATCAACTTTAAAAACAGCGCTTTGGTACATATCATATTTACTTGAGGGACCAGATTTAATGATGAGTTGAACCACGTAGATGTGGTTCAGCCACTACACTTTAACTTAAACCGACGCACAAAAGAAGTAGTTAAACTACCTCAGCGCGGTTGAGCTAATTCGTCCTATTCATTAAATCTGGTTCCACGTCAAATGTAAATTAAAATCTTGAAATTAGCTGTTCATATAATATTTATTTATTACTTTTATTGTGATGAAAAAGTGAAATGAAAAAAATGTATTTTTGTTTATTTTTGTATGCTTGAATTTTTTTCTGTAGATTTAGATAAGTCCCTTTATTATTCAAGAAGTTATCATAAAATAAAACATTTTCTTCTACAAATATGATGTTTTAGTTCTGAAATGGAATTGAGTCTTTGTCACAAACTCTGATTTTGAAATACCTATATCTTTGCAACCCAATGTCATAGACCTAGATATTTCAATCTATGAATTCTGTTAGATCAAATATTTAAGTTTAAATTTTGTAGCTTTACGCCATTAGGTTGCAATGATATAGTGATTAGAAAGTTTGAGTTTGTGGGAAAGACTCAGTTCTTTTGATGCAAAAAAATGTTGATTAGAAGGGACTGCAAAGGAAAAATGAAAGGGAGGCTGAAAGCTTAGCGCGCATTTGAGGAGTTGATCGAGACATATCAGAGTTTTATCTGGTGTTCCTGTCTCGAGAAATTGATATAAAACTGTGTCACAAACACAGATTTACTAATCCTAATATCTTTAAAACTTGATGATGTAAACCTGTGATATTTCAAACTTTATTTATAAGATCCAGCATAATTCATAGTTTGAAATATCTAAGGTCTGCGACATTGGGTTGAAAAAATATAAGGATGAGAAAATCAGAGTTTGTCGCAAAGACTCAATTTCTTTATACAAAATTTATATATATAAAATTTTATGACAATAATACTGCACTGCCGGTGGGATATTGGTCACGTGATATAAACGTATTAATAATATTATCAATTATATAATGAATAATTATTTAATGCAAATAATAATAGGAGCAAACCTAAGTTTGTCATGGGCTCATCTGGGATATCGTAGTTTTCAGATTTTTGCATATTTGCTGAATATAATCTACGATTTGTATACAAAATTTTATGCATGTCAATTTTTGTATAAAGGAATTGAGTCTTTGCCACAAATCAAATTTTCTAATCCTTATATCTATGCAACCTGATGGCGTAAAACTTTGATATTTCAAACTTAGATTATTTGATCCAGTAGAATTTATAGTTTAAAATATATAAGGTCTTCAACATTTGGTAGCAAAGATAAAGGGATTTAAACATACGATTTTGTGGCAAAGACTCAATTTCTTTTACACAGTTTTATATCAATTTCTCGAGACAGGAACACCAGATAGAACCTTTATAAGTCTGGATCAGCTCCTAAAATGCTATATCTCCTTTCATTTTTCCTTTACAGTCCCTTTAATAATTAAAATCCCTTTAGATATTTGGAGTGGAACTACTCAGAGATACTCAGATAGAAGAGGTATATCTAAACTGTTTAATTACTCTATTATTAAACTTGCTAATTAGTAATTAGTTTAATTCGTCTAATTATAATCATTAGCTTTAGAAACTATCCTGCTATAATTAGTTGGTCAATAAAGAAGTGTTCTAGTCACTAAATATTTGAATATTTTTCTAATTTAAACTTTTCATGTGAGAAGTTTTAAACTTATTAAAGACCCAGGCGCTGCAGATACTTTTAGTTAGGTAATATCAATACTTTATCTATGTTCTATGTTATATATATACTGTTCCATTCATAGAAGTGTATTCTAGGGAGTAAATTATAGCAGGTATAATCTAGGAAGTGTATTATAGGCTTTAGGCAGTGCATTTCTATTTTCTATTTTATATTCTAGCATATTCTAGAAATTGTATTCTAGGAACTTTATAGGAAGCGTTATCTAAGAATTATAATTTGGGAAGTGTATTCTAGGAATTGTATACTAGGAATTGTATACTAGAAATTGTATACTAGGAATTGTATTCTAGGAATTGTATTCTAGGAAGTGTATTCTAGCATGTATATTCTAGGAAGTGTATTCTAGGAAGTATATTCTAGAAAATAAATTCTAGCACGTATATTCTCGGAAGCGTATTCTAGGAAGTATATTCTAGGTAGTATATTATAGGAAGTGTATTTTAGGAGGTGGGAAGTGCCAAGGCCGAAGAGATGACTGTTTGTAACATAAAGTCCGGGCTCAATGATTTTCTAGATTATATATCACTAGTCGTCTGTCTCGTCCTTCCAACTATTCTTGGTCCTTTCCTTCTACTCGTCCTCTCTCCATTTTTCGTCTTTCAGGTGGGTTTTCTTTTAATTTTGCAGCCAAACCCCGATTTAAAATTTCCAAGTTTTAAAAAGAAATCATGAATATCTAATTCGTTCTTGATCAGAGAACTTTAAAGGTAACAGATCAATTAGAAAGGTCAATTTGTTAAATTAATGGTCGCCCACTTCAAATAAATTTAAACTATAAAGAATGAAAACAACAAAACAGAATCTAAAAACTATATTTGCAGAAGGCCCGCGGTGTTCCATCCCTCCGTCTCTTGATCTGGTTGAGCCTGATCTACATCATCTCATACTCCTTCCACCTCGTCATCTCGGAGTCCCTGGAGGTCCACGGGTTCGTGTTCCTCGTGTTGAAGAACCTGGTCGGATTCTTGTTCCTGGTTGCTGCTCCGATCATCATTATCATACTGCAGGATGATATCAGGTACCTTGAGCAATAAATTCGGATAATTGATCAAGGACCAAATCATTCAATTTCTTGATCAATCAGAGAGTTTTAATTAAATTGTAAGGAAATCCTTAGACGCTCTATATTATTAATAAAATCCAATCCAAACCTTTTATGCCTTTGAACCTAAACCACGATGATTTAAAAATAACTTTCATTCGCACTTTAGTCTTTTGAATCTATTTTTTTTTTGCTTTTCTTTTTCATACTTTTCTGTCGAAGATTGCGTTTCGAATGAAAAAGTAAAAGAATGTTGAATTACCAAAACACAAATAAATTCGAATTCTAGAAACAGAACGGATCTTGTCCCATGTTTAGTTCAGGGTGAAACCTTTGAGTCTTTTGATTATTAAACCTTTAAAAGCTTGATCTCGACGGATGGATCGTATTTTACCAGATTGGATCCAATCACAATAATTTTTTTGCCGTTTTAACTTTTTTTTAAATCGATGAATGACTGACATTTAGGTAAAAGTTATAAAAGCTATTAACATTATTCTATATAAATATATTCCATTATTCAGAAATTCTATTTCCGAATACGTTTGCAAACTTGTTCTCATGATTTTGATTTGAAATTGAAAACTTTGACATGAAGCACAGTAAACTCATTAGTATTGAATTCCCCAGATTAATCTATATAGGCGGCCTGGATATATAGATTAATCTATAAACCCAGCCTGGATATACAAATCTATATATAACTTCATATGCATATGAACAGCTTTACGTATTTGTAATGGTCCAAAAATCGTTCACTAGGAAATTACCTTGTTCATTTATGGGAGCACGAACGATCCTTCTTTTTAAAGGGACTGTTTACTTATTTGGGTATTTTAAGGGTAAACTAAATAGACTGTTAGCTATATTTTGGTATTATTTGGTATTACTATAAAAAGGTGCCGCACCTTGTCCCGTAGTTCGACCGATAAATCGATTTTTTTTCTCCGGCATTTAGGCATGTTTTTTTGTTTGTTTTTTCATAAAAAATTGATTTTAAAATTGTAAATTTGTAGATTTTACTGTAATTTAAAGGTCTCAAGCTCTCAAGCAAAAATCTATGAGAATTTTGTCAATTACTGCTTAAAAACCAAAGCTAACAGCAAGTGCTTTCTAGTGCCAAAAAAATGTACATGTCAGTAAAGGGCTACCAGGGGGGATGATAGTTCTCTACCCGTGTGCGGCTCAGTTTCATTTGCCATAAATATTTTTGCCATAATTACATTTTCCATTATACGTTTTCCATAAGTCACACTTGCCATAAGTTACACTTGCCATAATAGTTACACTTGCCATAATTACACTTGCTATAATTACTCTTGCCATAATTAATATCAAATTTGTTTTGAATAAACAAACATATATTAATATTTTTTTACAATTACAAATTGAATACAAATTACAAATCTAATGGAGAGACAGTTCATGAGCTATCAGGTTTAGGTACTCTTCTATGGGAAGAGTAGTATACTGTAGGACAATGTTAGCAATCCTCTCATAGGTTGGAGGGAGAAATTCGGGTTCGAATTCTATCTGAGCACATTTTAACCAAACATTTCCAATATTTCATTTCTGTAGACAAGGCATTGGCTACATATATGGTGTAGTTGTTGCTGTCTCGAACCATTGGTTTACCCTCAAAGGTCACTAAAGGGTCCTCCATTGTGAGAAAATATTGAGCTGAACTTGTGTCAACTGTTCTGTTTTAAAACAATGAGAAAACTAAAGTTGGGAATTTTCTTGGGAAAATTTCCCGCATTTGCAATAAAAAAGAAAGATTTTCATCTTTTTAGAAATTAGAAAATTATGACAAAAGTAATTATAGCCAGTGTAATTATGGCAAGTGTAACCATTATGGCAAGTGTAACTTATGGCAAGTGTGACTTATGGCAAGTGTAACTTATGGAAAGTGTTACTTATGGCAAAAGTATTATGTCAAGTGTAATTATGGCAAAAATATTATGAAAAAATGAAACTGAGCTCTTTGTGCTCAGTTAGCTGTACTGTACGCTTACAACTGTTTACTAATCTATATATAAATTTGGCTTGTCTGTCTGTTTGTTTATTTGTTTGTATCCAATAAACGTCAAAACGGCTGAACCGATCGGGCCCAAATTTTTGTGGGACATCACGTGACCACAGGAAAGGTTTATGAATGATAAAAATTAAAAAAAATGTGTTTCAAAGGTTTTAAATTTTGTAAAAAATTTAAATTTTTGAAAATCCTCGAATTAGCAGGCTGAATCTATAGTCATTACAGGGTTACCCAAATAGCTTAAAACTTTAATGAAGACCTATGAATCGATCAAATGTTAAAATTTAAAAATTATGTGTTAAAAAACTAAAAGAGTCTCCCAGGTGCAAGGAACCATGAGCTAAAGACACAAGTCAATGACGTAGTTGCAACTCATCTTTTTAAACAAAAACTCCTTATTTTTTCTTCAAAAAAATGGCATTAGTCGTATACCTCTTTATAAAATTAAAGGATTCATTCAGTAAAAAGCTTGCAAAAGTTCTGCAACATTCTGGCGTAAACCTTAGATATTTTAAACTTAGATTATTTAATTTAACAGAATTCATAGTGTTTAAAATACCTAAGTCTACTACTTTGAGTTGCAAAAATATAGGGATTAGAAAATCAGAGTTTGCGGCAAAGACTCATTCCTTTGAAGACAGTCTCGTCTTAAAAGCGTCGCAACGGCCTGGGTTTTGGTTTTTACCTCACCAAGTTACTTAAAGGTTTTTGTAGCCCCAGGCATATTGCATATACATTTAAAAACTACAACGCTAATAGTTCTATAGTTTAAGTTTAAAAGAAGTGAATGACAAAATACTGCACGATTCTTGCGTAAGGGTGTTCACATCTTGGTTTGCAGTTCTATTTCTTACAATAGGACGGGGTTTATAAATAAACTAAAATTCTTTTTTGTAAGCTTTGTTAAATAGATTCAATCACTATATATAACTGTTTAAGTATGTAATGAGAAACGCTAATTTCATGATTGATAAGTGGAACATAAGAATGTAGAAAACATGAATAATGGAAAATTTAAAACTTCATTTTTGAGAATAAATAGATTTACTATCTTGACTGCGTCCATGTAGAATACTAATACAAACTCCATCTTTCATATTTTCATATTTTAATATTTCCAGAANTGGTACGACACGGCGGAATATTTTTACTATAAAAAATTGAGCTTAGCTCTTCTACTTTATTCTAAGTGGGCCAATGAATACATCAATATGAAGAAAAAAATATTTTATTGGTTTTCAACCTTTGAAAGAAAAAAAATGCATTCTCCGGAGTCATAAACTTTTTGGAGACTCTTTACAGACTAAACGGAACCTTTTGAAATGAAGCTAGTTGGATGAATATATTATCCGTTTTTTCTTTCTGACAATAATTTCAAGATGGTTGAAATATCTTGAACTATTATTGGTTGGATCCCCGAACGTTGACTGAATAAAACACGGGGTTTTAAAGTGTGCAAGTAACGGTTAACGAGGGAAGAAACGACTTAGCTTTTTAGGAATAGGTTAGCTTGCACCGAGCATTCAGAAGTTTCCAGCTCCGTTCCGATCTTATATGAAGAAACTGATTAAAAAATTGAGTCTTTGCCACAAACTCAGATTTTCTAATCTCTAAATCTTTGCAACCAAAGGTAGTAGACCTGAGATATTTCAAACTATGAATGCTGTTAAATCAAATAATCCAAGTTTGAAATATCAAAGCTTTACAGCATCAGGTTGTTGAGATATAGGGAATAGAAACTTTTAGTTTGCGTCAACGACTAAATTCCTTTCTTATAGATATTGATATTGATATTTATATATATATTTATTTATCTTAAAGCTGTAAACTTCTAATATCCTTTAACCTGATGGTGAAAACTTTTTATATTTCAAACATTAACTGTTAGATGTAATAGCAGAACTCATAGTTGGACATATCAAAGTTCTCGAAACTTTGTTTGAAAGATAAAAGGACTAAAAAGTTAAGTATTGAGGCCCGACGTTATACAATCACTCAAACACAAAGTTAATAAACTCATATATTAATTAAATTTTTTTTTCATCTTTGAAGAATTGGAAAATTTTTCTTAATGTTTTCGTATTTCTAGGGGAGGTTTACGGCCCTTGTTCCAGAGTAAGATAATTTGTCCTCCTGATGAAAATCAAGAAGATCAAGCATGCTGACCTTCTGGAGATCCATGAATATCAAGAAAATCAAGTATGCCGACCTTCAGGAGATCCATGAATATCAAGAAGATCAAGTATGCCGACCTTCAGGAGATCCATGAATATCAAGATGATCAAGTATGCCGACCTTCAGGAGATCCATGAATATCAAGATGATCAAGAATGCCGACCTTCAGGAATCCATTAATATTAAGATGATCAAGAATGCCGACCTTCAAAAGATCCTTGAATATTAAGAAGATCAAGGATTCTAACCTTTAAAAGATCCTTGAATAATAAGAAGATCAAGAATGTAGACCAGCGTAAGATTCTTGAAAAGTAAAACATATTCTGTAGAAACCAGATAACCTCCCTAATAAGGAACTGAATACTTGCATCTAACTCGAATTAATTTTTTCTCGCAACCAGATATTTTTGAAAACCTGCTGGATTAAATAATCAAAATAAAAGGTTTGCATCATCCTATTGCAAAGATTTAGAGTTTTAGACGAGTTGTCAATTTCTTAGCATTTGCAGGTCAAAAAAGATTTTATCAATCGTCTTTTTTTGTGATTTTAAATTGAAAAAATAACTAACGAATTATCCGCAAGTACCTTCAATTTCCCACTTTTTCCCCTTTATAGTAATAGTAGGAATGTTATAAAAAATATTCCGCTAAATCTGTATTCTATGTTTGTCAAATTCCAGCCAAAAACATAACAATTCATCCAAATCTTTCAATGTTAACTGTTAATCTTTCAAAGATCAGCTTTCATCGTTGTAAATATATGTTGCTAATTTCAAACCTTAAAATTTATCCGCCCCCCCCCAAAAAAAAAATAATGAGGTGTCCACCGTGCATAACTCACTGTCCTAGTCGTAGCGCTCGGCCGATAAATCTTCCCAAACCGACATAACTCTAGATATCTGTAAATGTTACTGCTGATTTTATCATTATAGGTGATTCTAGTTTGGCAAACGCATTTTTAGGATGCTGGGTGTAACTGGGGGGTGGAAGTTTTTATTTCCAGAATCAGCTTTTTTCTCATTTTTTGTCAGTTATTACTTAATTTATATTGCAGAGATTTGCAGAGATGATATTTTAAAAGCTTAAACCCGGGTAAAACCCAAACTCGGGCTTGGAAAGAACCCAAGTCAGGATTGGTTCTGATTCGACCAATGAGAGACTGTTTAGCAAGCTTTCTCTCTGTAGCAGACAGAAAAACCCGGGTCTTCACTTGAGCTTTACTTGGGTCTAAGCAGGCGCAAAGACTGAGTTTTACTCGTGTTTAAGCTTTAAAAATCTCATCTCAGAACAAAAAATTATCTGTTATCATGCTGCAATATTGTTGTTATTCAATTATCTGTTATCATGCTGCAATATTGTTATTACTCAATTATTGTCGCCAATACTTCTTTAATATAACACCATCATTGTCAGTTATCATATTCAAATACTGTTGTTAACTAATTCTTATAATTGAATATTTTTTCTTGGATTTGCACTCTGTTAAGTTGTAATTCTGTTGTTATTTGATTATCTTAATGTAATATTTATTGATTAGAACAATATCATTGTAAGTACACTTAGAAAAAGTGGTTGTTATTCAAAAAATATCATCGATGTTACGCTGGACTAGGGTCAATTTAAATTCGAACCGGACCGACCCCTTGTACTGGGTTTAATGAAGAGCAGCAACTACCGGCCCAACCATATCCCTATGTTGCCTCGGTTTCGAAGTTCATGGCGCGGCCAGACTTTTTACAGTACCCGGCATATCAATTATTGTCTGCAATCATAATGTTTATATTGTTGTCCTTTTATAATTGTAAGATAATAATTCATAATTAAAATTAATATTTATCGTCAGTCATCCGTTATCATGTTGTTGTAATAATGTTGCCGTCAATGTCATTTATCATTTATCATGTTGCAAAACGATTGTCATTTATTCACTTCTAATATTTCTTGGTAAGAACAATATTGTTGTGAGTTATCATAAACTAATACTGTAGTCATTTACTTATTGTTATCATTTTTGTCATTTGTCACAAAGTGGCATTAAAGGAAAATAATGACTTAAACTTATTAAAACTCAATCATTCAAATTAAAAGTTTTCAGCTGTGAACGTCTGCCAGGTTAATAGTTTTTCCTTGATGTTCCAACTAATAAATGTTCTGCAATATTTTCATTAATGCCTCAACTCGGACACGATCTTATAAATTTCAATGTCTTAACCCGGACACAATCTCAGGGGTTTCTTGTTCTCTAAACAAGGAACAAATTACTCTTGCTTGGTAATCGTTCAAGAGTCTGTTTCAACTCAGTATATTTTGAATTATAGATTAAAAGTCAAGTTTAAAAGACGTAATTATAAGTTTTGCGTCAATGTATACAAACGTAGTTAAGCTAATCACAATATGGGTTTGACGGAGTTAGGTATATTCGTATATAGGTTAGGTCAATCGCAATATAAGATTTGCGTATTTACTGATAAGCGCAATTAGATTTACGTAAAATGTACAAAGTAAATTAGCTAAGTTACTATGGGACCTAACCCTGTATTACTTACATATAAACTAAAACTTAATTATTGTTATTTATGAGAATTTGATAAACTTATCACAATTTGTTGTTCAGTGACATAATTGCAATGTGTGCTATAGACAAAAAGTAAAATTTAAATCACAAAGAAAAGATAAAATTTATGGTTCATTACTGTTTTGACTTTGTGACCTCGTAGCTCCTCTAGATTTGATTTCAAGCACAAATATGAGAAAAGCTAATCTATCTATTTGCATATTAAAATTTTAAAGCATTGTTGTATATTTAAAATTCTATGCTATAAGAATAAGAGAAGTTTTGATTGTAAACATATAAGATTTCAATTTTACCTCTAATCTACTTTATTTTACCTCCAATATACTTTATTTTACCTCCAATCTACTTTATTTTACCTCCAATCTACTTTATTTTACCTCCAATCTACTTTATTTTACCTCCAATCTACTTTATTTTACCTCCAATCTACTTTATTTCAATTTTACCTCCAATCTACTTTTTTTCAATTTTACCTCCAATCTACTTTATTTCAATTTTACCTCCAATCTACTTTATTTTACCATCCTCCTAATAGCCAGATCACTGTGAACCAAGATTTGCACTCTTTTATGCAAAAATCGAGCGGTATCGACATTACTCCTTTTAAACTTGAACTATAGAAACAAGCATTTAATGTGCATATGTCTAGGGCTACAAAAAATGATAAGTGACTTTGTGAGGTAAAAGCAAAGCCCATGGCCTTAGCGATGCTTTGATGTTCAGGGTGTCTAAATTTTTTATGACTAATTTTCGATCATATAGTTTTCTATAAATATCAGTGAGATATGCAAACTGCAGGCATATCCTTCATTTTTTTACCTACTTTACAGGGTTACCCACAAAGGATGAGACTGTAAAAATATGACGAAGCTTAAATTTTGGTTTCTGCACTCAATTGAGTATTTTGATGGTTTACTGAATGATGAAACACAGAAATAAACCAGTTTTGACCTGAAAGAACTCTGAAAAGAAGAAAATGAACTAAACAAGTTCAGTTTAAGTCTCTGAAGTCTCATTCTTTTTGGGTAACCCTGTAGATTATTAAGCTTACCGCTGTTTATCTATATGTGAATATATGAATATGAGTGAATATCTAGTGTTTATCCTTTGTATCTTTACGGGATTAAGATATGGATGCAATATTGCGTTAAATATATATGTAAAGCATGTGTATAATATCACTGTTTATTTGTATATTTCAGTATATGTTTATTTGAATATTTAATCATTTGGAGCTTATTTAAATGTTAATGTAAATCTGCATGTACATTATATTGTACATTATATTGTAAATTATATTGTACATTGTATAGTACAGGGTCACGAGGGTGACCAACTCCAAATATTGAAATATCCCCTAAAACAAGAAGAAAAACCCTCTTTCTCACCTAAATAAAAATTGAAAATCCCCCGAAATTCCCAAACTTTGGACCGATTTTTAAGACAAAGTTTGGCCATTGAAACAATAATTACCACAAGTAGCCATAGGTTTTAGTCAAAAATAAGGTTAACTGATCATTTTCAGACAAATTATATATTTTTATAATTTTTGGTTTTTTTTTCAATGAAGTCATATTCTCAACTAGGTTTGAAATATGAAAAAACATTTTTCTTCAATGATATTTATGAACAATTTCATTTGCCTGTTTTTTCGTTTTGTTTACTGCTTATTTTTAATGTTAACACTGGTTGATATTAAATGTTGATATTAAAATTCATTGATTATTTTTTAGAAAATGTTCAAAGCTTTACTATCTGTTAAGAATAAAAGAAATTTATTTGAAATTGTGAAAATTTCATAGTTTTTGAGCTGTGTAATAGTCAACTTAGTCAATTGAATTATGAAAATACTAGAAGGATGTATATACTCGCTCTAAAAATAAATGTAAAAATCGGTTATAAAGTCCTTTAAAATAGAAATTCTTAACTGACATGGAAACTTTGAAAATCCCCCAAAAATCCCCAACTCCCCAAATGTGCGCTTTTAGGGGATGAAATCCCCAAGGTTGGTCAGCCTTGGACCCGGTCACCCACAAATCACAAATGTTAATCTCCTTAGTTTAGTTTTTATAGAAAATAATATAATCGCACAGCAAATTTAAGGTCCTTCTTAAAAATCTGTAAGCCTTGACTTTAGAACCATTTCACCCATTATTAAATGTAAAATTTTTCGCATTTGCTAATAATTTTTGTTGGGCTATTTAACGTATATAAAATTGTTAATTCTTTATTTTGAATGAAAGATTAAATTATGACAAAAAAACAAAACGTACAGTATGCAAACCTAAATGAGGATACTGCAGTAGCCCACCATTTCCAGCCAATTAAAGAACCAGACCCTTGGGTACCATAGATTTTACCGATCCAGGGGGGGGGGGCTGCACAACCCCCCTGTTTACGTAGTTAGTATTCCGTGTGATGAACGTACGTTGATTGTTGATTATATTCCAGGATCCAGGGTTCGCTAGTGGGAACTCTGATTGCAATCATTCAATTAAGTATTGAGCAAGAATATAAAGACATAAAATCTAGTCTTTCTCAACAAAAATAACGAAAAAGAATAAGTCATGGAATATGAATGGAATTAGGGTTGGTTTTATCTGAAATTTTTATCTAAAATAAGTGAGAACAAATTGCAATTGATTCTTTAGGATAAAAAAAAATTAAGATCATTTCCTAGAGAACGATTATTTGACTTAAAGAAATTGAAATTTTAAATCTAATTCGGTGTATTTTTGTGTATTATTAAACCCTTTAGTTCGGAGAAACCAAATTTTCTATGCAAAGAGATTATTAAAATTATTTCCGCATGAGGACCTAAAGATAAAAAACATGACAGCTTCTGGAGATAAAATCTTTCTTGATAGTTTCCAGTTGCAATCTATAATCTGTATATTGTGTCACCTGAAAGGACAGGAAATGTATTGCAAATGGACGGAAATAAAAACAAGTGTTTGGTTCTAAGTTGGTTGATTTATTATACCGTTATAGTTGATACTTTTCTTCTTTAGTCTTTACACTTAAAATAAGAACAGTAAGAAGGGGGGGGGGGGAGGTTGGAGGTCCCCCCACCCCCTCCCAACACCAAGACAAAAGTGTAATTGTGATTTCCACTGACCATTCATTTAAAAAGTGATTAATAATGTAGAGGATGTTTTCAGCGAAAAAGATACATTCTTAACACATTCTTACAAAGGAATTGAGTCTTTGCCACAAACTCTACAGAGAGTTGGATATTTTGAATTGGATTTACGTAAAAAATCAGCGACTTAATTAAAAATGAAGAGGACAAACTCTAAAGACAATTTAAATCTGGGAATTAGTAATTCTTAAATCCACCGGAGAAAGCATTAAAACTCTGAAATAAATTCTGCAGCCAAAAGGTTTAGCCATCAATTTTCAGATCTGCATCTTAGCCTAGAGTCATCAGGCGGGATGATAGTTCTCTACCTTTGTGCTCAATTAGCTGTACTTTACACTTACAACTGTTTACTAATATTGATATACTATGGGTTAGGTCAGAATCAACTTATAATAAACAAATATGCAGTACACTCTCGGT